ATATATATATATATACATACATACATACACATGTGTATGTGTGTGTGTGTGTATATGTATGTATATGTGTATATATATATATTTTTATTTTATTTTTTTTCAGTTTGTGATGTCAGGATGGGGCACAGGCTATTCATTTCACTGCGACCTCGTTGACTACTCGAATTCTCCACAGGCCATGAGGGTAAGTCAGGTGTAAATAACTAATGACAACCCTTAGCCACTGTCTCCACTGTCAATGCTGAAAATGTCTCTTTTCCAGATGTTGGCTGTGTGTTGGCTTTACTACTTCTCAAAGTTTATTGAGATGTTGGACACAGTGAGTAGTAATTATTGATTATTATTATTGATTAAGTCCAGTAATCTTCAGTCAGTCATTTTATGAAGTGTTAGTCTTTACACTTTGTAAACATTTGTTCCCTGTTTTTTTTTTTTTTTATTTTGTTTTTTTTCTCAGATTTTCTTTGTGTTGAGGAAGAAAAACAGCCAAGTCACCTTTCTCCATGTCTACCATCACTCCATCATGCCTTTCACCTGGTGGTTTGGTGTTCGTTTTGCTGGCGGTAACTTTTTTTTTTTTTTTCTATTTATTTTTTTAAAAAAATGCTCAAATCTTTTTTAAAATAATTTATGTTTTTATTTCTTTTCTGATTTATACGTTTTTGTTTTAGGCGGCCTCGGAACATTCCACGCTCTGCTTAACTCCATTGTCCACGTTATCATGTACTCCTACTATGGTCTGAGTGCTATGGGCCCCAAATACCAGAAGTACCTGTGGTGGAAGAAATACCTCACTACCATCCAGCTGGTGAGTTCAGTGTTCTGGCGATAACAAAGAATAGCACTGGTGTGTGTGCGTGCATGTGTGTACATAGAGGTGTGGTGAATTTCTGCTGAGTCAACATTCATGCCCGTCTGGTCTCCACAGATCCAGTTTGCGATGGTGACCACCCACATCTCCCAGTATTTCTTCATGAAGGACTGTCCCTACCAGTTCCCCATCTTTGTCTATATCATCGGCTTGTACGGCCTGATCTTCCTGTTTCTCTTTCTCAACTTCTGGTACCACGCCTACACCAAGGGCAAAAGGCTGCCTAAGGTGCTGCAGGCTCAGAGATGGGCGTTCCACACCAACCGAGTCATGAATGGAACCGCAAATCACGGAAAGCACGAGTGACTCGCCTGTTCCTCCTCATGTATGTGAGCAAAAACCACAGGTGGTGGTGCTGATGGTGTGAGTTTCAGCTCTAAATATTTGAACCTCTTTTGTTTTTATTTTCATCCTCCAACTGTAGCTGCAAAAAAAAAAAAAAATTCAAAATTATGATGGGTGTTATTGTAAGACCTGAACTGAAGGCTTTGTGTTTTACACAGAATGTTTATCTTAGGTCATTCTATGGATTTGTCCAAATAACATATCATATTCTGCTGCCATATGATTTCAACACATGAATTCACTTTTCACACTGACTACACAGCTTCACCCAAGCTGTACAGAAAAACTGGATCTCCTAAAAAAAAGAAAACCTAATATTGAAATATATATTTTAAATGCATTAATGACTTGATGCTAATACATGGAAGAGTTTTTAGGAAATCCAGTTTAAGATTTTAGTAGAGCACTGGAAAGTTCAAGGGTTGTTAATGTCACTTGGCTTAAAATGACGACCGCCCTGGTCAACATTTTTTGTTTTTTAAAGATTTGGTGTTTAGGTTCCACACCTTGTATATGAAGTTACACATTGGCTGGATTCACACTGCTGCTGATGGAACAAGCTCAACCTCATGTAACACACACGTCCTCCTATGAAGCAACAGTGTGAGAATGATGCCGGGGTGGTCGACTGAATGGACCACTGGTTCTGAAAAGGCTGCACAGCTGAGTTTCAGGTTTAGTTCCACTGCTTCCTCATTAAAACTCCACATAAAAAGAACAAAATAATAATTTTAAAAAAACTGTACATTTACATATATTCATTTATCCATTAACAGCCAGAAGACATGAGCGGCTTTAAAAAAATTTTGTTTGTTTGTCCTGCTGCTTTTTAGATTGAAACTCTGTAAGTGGTCTTCAGACTGAAGTCGAACACTGCCTTTGTTCTAAAGTCTGAATAGTAGTGTTTTGTTTAACTGTGTTTTACGCAGCTCTGGGGAAGACTAAGGATGTGGGATGTCGGTCCTGGTTTGAAAAGAGCAACACCTTTTGGTAGTTAGGTGCAAGGGCATTGTAAGAAACAAGTTTACCAGATGAAAAATGTATATTTATGCCTTTACTCTTGTTTATTTTGCCTCCATTTTATTGTATCATGGTTAATATTGTATAAAATGTGACTGTTTATACTGTATTTTATGTATTTATACAAAATAAATGATTGTACTCTAAAATATCTGTACTCTTGATTCATTTTATTTAAATTCACAACTTCGGTACTCAAAGTTATTATATAGATTGTAGTGGATGTTCTTTTGATCCCAAGTCAAAGACAGGAACGTCAGGGCGGAGTTCTATGTTCAAACTGTTTTATATTACAAAGAGTGCAAGAACCAGCAAGAGTATACAAATTACATTCAAACAAAACAATTATGCATGAAAACGGACTTACAGAGACTTTTATGAGTCAGTGCCGATCTAGTAGCCTGCCGATTACCCAGGACCTATGCCAAAAGCGGTGACTGACCAACTGTCCAAAGACCTCTGAATTTATACAAACATACAAACAAGTTTGCAGGTGTGTTACCATGGCAACCATAGAACGTCTCCTTCCGCTGCACATGTTCGACATGGTCACATACCATTTAAGACAAGCACTAGTTGTTTATTATCTTAAACAATATTTCATACTGAGTTCCCACTTAGTTTGAGACTGGTACTAGGCACCTATTATCAGAAACACTATTTCATACCAAGTTAATACATAGTTTAAGACAGATAATATGTAATATGTCATAAGAAAAGTAAAAACACTTCGTAAAACTTCATCTCCAAGACGGTCACCCCCTCATATTTTGGAGTCACCGCAGTAGCTGAAAGACCAACTGGTGTAGAAATCACGTGTATGTGTTCATGTATTTGTGCAGACAACATACGTAACCCTTCTAGTGAACCGTCGGCAGCTGTGTTATTGGGGATGGCGCAGACTTCTCTTTTTTTAGCCAATATTCTGTCTATCACCATCATATTCTAAAATGATATCATAAAGTTAACATGGAGCTCATCAGTCAATTTTTACCAGCATCTTAAGTCATATCAGCCAGGCACAGGACACTGTAATGTATATAATTGATTCGATCATCATTATTCTTCCCCATCACTGTTGCAATCACACAGGCTATTGCTATACCTCTGATTATTTTATCTTCAGGACACCCCAGCATGTTGAATGCTTTGTTAAACATCAAATAAATGTAGAATTAACACACAAGCAAGCGATTATACTATGATTATGATGAATAAGCAGGTTAAATGCAATATTGTCCAAGCAAAAGTTGCTTAAAACTTGTTCTTGGGTCGGGCTCTCCTTTGGAGTCTGGCTGATTCTCTTCTGGTGAGTCGTCCGCTGGAGTAGTTTAGGTCACGTAGTACTACTTTCCTGGCCGTTCTTGTAGCTGCACAGTGTGCTGAGTCCTGGCCGTTACCTTGTATGGACCGTCCTACCTGGGCTGGTTCCACCCCCTTTTGAGGACTTTCAGGTACACGCTGGCTAGAGGGAGACCCGCTGGTTCGTTTGGATCTTACTCTGTCTTTCACCTGGGAGGAGTAGCTAGACACAAGAGACGACAGAAGTTCCCAGTATGGCTTGTACGCCATTTAGGGAGGGGCAAGGTGAAGATTGAGAGAGGGTGTGGGTCCTGGCATGGCTCTTCCTGTTAATAACTCAAATGGTGTGAATCCTGTTTTCCTGTTTACAGATTGTCTACATGCCAGTAATGCCAATGGAAGAGCTCTAACCCAATTCATGGCAGTTTGTCTCACATTTTTACTGAGTTTTTCTTTTATTGTTTTGTTTGCTCTTTCTACTTTCCCCTGAGGGTGATGAACAGTGCCAAATTTATGCCAGAGCCCCAACATTTGTTCAACTGTTGCCAATGCTTTGTTATTGAAATGAGTTCCATTATCTGATCTTATCACTTCAGGAAACCCATACTGAGGTAAATACTGATTCACTAAGTATGTAATGACCTCATCTGCATCTTCTCTTCTAGTTAGATGGCACCCATCCATTCTGTGTATGGATCCACCACCACCAGAAGATATCTCTTACCTTCTGCTGGGATCAACATGTCAGGATAGTCGATCACATTCTCCTAGCCCAGCCATGGATTGGAAAGCGACCGTGGCTTGCCTTGGTTGTTGTACACATCTCACAATATTTGATTACAATTTATTTCATTTTTGGGTGCCACCAGCAATTTAGTTTATCCAATGCTTGTCTTTGACCTGCATGGTGCACTCCGCAAGCCTATGCTAATGAGGAGTCCCTTAGGCCCCCCGTCTGGTAGCATTAGTCTCCCATCTCTGCCCTGCCAAATTTTCTGCAAGTCCCTTACTGCTCCCCAGCTTCCCAGAGTACTTTTTCTAAGTGGTCTTACTCTTTGCTCATTATACTCTCTTTCCTGACAACGGTGTTTTCTCCATCCTCTATCAGGTCAGCCATGTTAATGCCTTCTGACCTGTATTGTATGTGTGGTTTATCCAGTGTGCGCAGAATGCATGTTTGCCTTGTGAAAGATTCTTGTTGTGCAAGGTGTGTTCAGGCAAAGAGTGGAAGCAGCCGGTAGATGGTCGATTAGTTTTAATAGCAAAACGTCAAACAAAACAGGTCCAACAATAAAGCAAAATAAACGACTGGAGAAGTATTCGAGGAAATCTCGTACAACAGTAGTTAATACGCAAATCCTGTCAAGAATAACTTCTGACTTCTCAAGACTTCTCAAGAATAACTTCTACAGTATTGTTAGTTGTTTATGCTTATATACCTGTGTGGGGGTAGTGGTTTTTGACTTCCCGGGTGTGTGTTTAAATCTTGTAGGCCAATGGAAGGGTTCCCTGTGAGAAGGTAGATTGGGAGATCTCCCATTGTTCCCAGGGAGTAGAGGTGTTTTAGAAAGTTGGTGTGAAGAGAATTTGGGGAAATTCTCTTTGAATGTGTGGGGCTATGTGACTGTGTGCTCGGGAAAGCCTTTTGGTGTGTTAGCAGCTTCCTGCTACAGACCCAACCAAATGTGAAAACCACTGAAATCTAATAATTGTTAGGGTCAATGTGAACGCTGCTGAGGTTATATATGTTTGAACGTCATGTGATGTAAACACAACCAATGAATGTCCCATGACTGTGTTCAGTTTTCTTCATGATGCTAGCCAGTCCAGCTGCAAATCTAGTGCATGCTGGCTGTTCAGTTTCCATAGGATCCAGTGGTACACTGGCATAATGAAATATTGTCCTATCCCCCTTTTGTTTCTGGAACAAAACACCATGCGCAGTGGTTTTTGAGACAGAAACATCCAAATGAAAATCTTTTGTGTAATCTGGAGTGGTTAATGTAGCAGCTGAAGCTAAAGCTGTTTTTATGTCAGTAATTGCCTGATCAGTCTCTGTCGTCTAGTCAAGAGGGGTTTTTAGGTTTCGCAAACAGACGAAGTAGTACATTATTAGTGGCCTGCAAGCAGCTTTGTGGTTCTGTGGCAGCTATGAAAATATCCTTTACATACTGCATCATCACTGGTAGCACAAGGTCACAGCTTATCTTTTAATACCTGGTTAAAATACCATGAGATAACTTGAATCCCTGTGGCTTAGTATTGTACGTGTATTGCTGACCTTTATAGGTAAATGCAAAAATTGGTTTCCATTCCTCTGCCAGGGGGAGACAGAAAAAAAGCGTTAGCCAGATCAATAGTAGTGAACCACTGACATGTCTACCTGGCATTTGGGCACATTACGTAATCTGTAGTATTGTTAAGTGCTATTTAAACTTAGGGACAGTTTAAGTGCGCACATTGAATTTTGTTGTCTGAAATCTATGCTGCTTTTATAGCTAGGAGGTTGCATGCACTTCTTTTCTAACCTCCTTACTCGGTGTTATACTCTTGTACACCGTCAGTATTTCAGTGTTAACTTGTAACGTTATCAGTATTGGGATCAATAAAACTCTGACAAAGTCCTTTGTCTGGAGTAGACCACGCGGTACGCCTCCCTTCCCCCATATACCTTGATAACATCACAAGCACTGTTTTATTGTACCTGAGCGCACCTTCGTTGCGCGTACACAATACCCATTCACACCTCGGTGAGCGCATACACGCCTCACGTGTTTCCTGTTGCCGTTCCTTCTACCTCGCAGTTCTTCTTCCACTGCGCAGTCGTGTATGTGAACACGCCTCAAGGGGTCAGTCACTTGCTTGGTAGCTAAGAGGCAACATCTCTCTCTCTCTTTCTCTCTCTTACACGACCACTTGTGTACACACGCACACAAATACACACAAACCTACACAAACCTACACACACACTTTTGCCTTGTTTTGTTGTTATGATCATTGTTTATGAGTTCAATCACCGTCATTAACTTGACAGTGTTGTATAAATACATTTGATTATTTTTGTAAATTGTGTTTGTCTGTGTTGTTACTTTATTCATTGAAACCACCCAATTTGCTAAGGTCTCTAAAAATCCTTCAGATATTTAGTTGTTATTAATACTATTGATTATAGTATATGTGTAACACTCCAAGTAATACATTATTGCTATATTAGTAGGTTAAAATAATAATTAAAGATAACTTTAACGAGACTGGTTGTGTTATTAATTTGAGACTGGTTAATAACACTGAGTGCTCCTAAGCAGCACTCGACCCATTGCACCTACACATACGTATATGATGACAAAGTAACAACACAAAAGATGTCTTAATTTTTACTTGCAAGGGGAGAGTGCAGCTTATTCTTCTGGCAGCTTCCTCATCAACTCCGAGTAGCCACACCCTTCCTCTGCACCTTTATTGAGTTTATAAAAGTAGGAGAGGAGTTAGAGGAGTATAAGAAGAATAGAAGAAGAATAGTCTTTATTGTCATTATGCTTGGTTAAAACATAAAGAAATTGGGTAAGGCTTCTTCGCAGGTGTATCACAGAAACATACATACAACATTTCTCTGATGTAATGGTCACAAAAAAAAAACAAGCACTGTTTAGCACTACAATGACAACAACAGCAAGAAATTTACTTTAAATATAAATAATAATATAGATAATAGATATAGATATAGATAATATAGATATAAGTGTGTTGTGGTGTGGTGAGGAGATGTATTAGTGCATGTGTGAGTTCAG